TGGGGAATTAGGCGTCAAGTTGGCCTTGAGATCTGAGGTCTCCAAACGTGCTTGGGCTATGAACTTTGGCCCAAATCATGACTGAAATCTGATTGTAGTCCTAGGGGCTCGAAATAAGGACCTCTGTGAAATTTGGCTCGTGCATGCCTCCTGAATGTTGGTTTTCGTTTGGGCTTGGGCCACAGTCAGCAACTGGCCAATTTTTGTAGTACATACCTAGGTGTAATTTCCCTACGTTGGGCTTGTCTTGGAGCCCAATGGCTGGACTGTGGTGCAGAATTATCATTTGGTCCAGTAACGAATTAAGTAGGACTTTTCCTGAGACAAATAAAAATAGAGAACCATAGTTGCTTTTAGGTTTGCCTTTTAAATAATAAATGAGATGAGCCTCGCCAAACAAAATACATAAATTGTGGGGCCCTCGATAAATGTTTACATAAATATTTAGACTCCGGGATGGGCCGTTTAGCGAATTTCACGGTTTTTCCCCAAAGATAATAACACGATAGTTTCTTTAGGCACGCATTTAAAATAATTTTACCTTCCTAAATACGGGTGCACATTTATGTGACCCAAATTCAAATCTCAACGAAGTCGAAATGTGTCAAAAACCGCGGGTGCATTTATGTGACGTGGTTCGAGACGTGTTTTCACGACGTTGCAATTCTCTAAAAATAATAATAATAAAGCGGTTCAAAGTTAAAAAGAACATAGTTCAAAACATGTATTAAAATCAAATAAATAAGCCAAATATGACAGTTGAGCGACCGTGCTAGAACCACGGAATCCGGGTGTGCCTAACACCTTCTCCCGGATTAACAGAATTCCTTACTCGGATTTCTGGATCGCGGACTGTTAAACAGAGTCATATTTTCCTCGATTCGAGATTCAACCGGTGACTTGGGACACCATGAATCTCCCAAGTGGTGACTCTGAATCTTAATAAATAACGAATCCCGTTTCGATTGTCCTTCAAGTGGAAAAACTCCTTTACGCCCTTGCGGGTGTAGTGAAAAAGGAGGTGTGACAGAAATGATATTGTTGTTGATAACATTTTTGCTTATAATATTGCTGCTGAAATAATGCAACACGATGAGGATCTTGAACTGAAATCTATCGATGAATGTAGACAGAGAAATGATTGGCCAAAATGGAAAGACGCTATCCAAGTAGAATTGAGTTCACTTAAAAAACGTGAAGTTTTTGGACCTATAGCCCAAACACCTGAAGGTGTAAAGCCAGTGGGGTACAAATGGATTTTTATGCGAAAAAGAAATGAGAAAAATGAAGCTGTAAGATATAAAGCACGACTTGTAGCACAAGAATTTTCGCAACAGCCTGGCATTGATTATATGGAGACATACTCTCCTGTGGTGGATGCAATCACATTCAGGTATCTTATCAGTCTAGCAATTCATGAAAAACTTGATATGCATCTTATGGATGTTGTCACGACCTATTTTTATGGCTCACTGGACAACGAAATTTTTATGAAAATCCCTGAAGGATTCAAAGTACCTGAAATATACAAAGATTCCCTGGAAACTTGTTCGATAAAGCTTCAGAAATCCTTGTATGGATTGAAGCAATCAGGGCGCATGTGGTATAATCGCCTCAGCGAATACCTATTGAAAGAAGGGTACAAGAATGACTCAATTTGTCCTTGTGTCTTTATAAAAAGATCTGGATATGAATTTGTCATAATAGCTGTGTATGTTGATGACTTGAATATCATTGGAACTCCTGAAGAGCTTCCGAAGGCAGAATGCTTGAAGAAAGAATTTGAAATGAAAGATCTTGGAAAGACAAAATTTTGTCTTGGCTTACAAATTGAGCATTTGAAAAATGGAATATTTGTCCATCAATCAACGTACACCGAAAATATTTTGAAGCACTTTTATGTGGATAAAGCACATCCATTGAGTACCCCGATGGTTGTGAGATCGCTTGATATAAATAAAGATCCATTTGTCCTCATGAAAATAATGAAGAGCTTCTAGGTACTGAAATACCATATCTTGGTGCAATTGGGGCATTAATGTACCTTGTTAATAATTCTAGACCAGATATAGCTTTTTCTGTAAGCTTGTTAGCAAGATTTAGTTCTTCCCCAACACAAAGACACTGGAACGGTATTAAGCATTTATTCAGATATCTGTGAGGGACCATTGATATGGGATTATCTTATTCAAATGAATCTAGGTGACAACTGATAGGTTATGCAGATGTAGGATATTTTTCTGACCCACATAAAGGTCGATCTCAAACAGGCTATTTATTTACATGTGGAGGTACTGCCATATCCTTGAGTGCTAGACATAGCTCATCTAATAATCCTCGTTGGACTCAACATAACTGAATTATTCTTATGAAAACGTTTTAGAAAATCCATTAAAGACTTGTTATAAAACAAAATGTTAATCGAAGACTTGTTAACCGAATTTATCGAGAAATGTTACTTTTTTTATGCCAAGAGACTGATAGCAAGCGGTCTATCAATGATATGCACACCATTGCTATTCTTGTGTGTGGTATATTATAAGTCAATTGGATTAGCGGGCGTAAATTGTTATCCTATATGCATGAAATACTGCTCTCTTAACAGCTTACGACCAGATATCTATCCATGTTTCATGGCAGTGATCAAACGACGCACTCATATATAATGTTCACAAAAGGCGGATGGAGCCTTGTCGAATGGATTCAACTGAATCTAATATTTTCGACATGAAACAAACATACAATAGATACATAATAGATGGCAAAATTTTAACAACTTAGTATTGTATTTGTTACAACAACAACAACAGCCCAGTGTGGTCCCACAAGTGGGGTCTGGGGAGGTTAGGATGTACGCAGCCTTACCCCTACCCTGGAAGGTCAGAGAGACTGTTTCCGATAGACCCTCGGCTAAAGAAGGTGAGAAAAGCCCTCGTAGCAAGTAATAGAAAAACAATAATTAGAAAACTAAATCGGAGATAGCAACAGATAATATGAAAGGGGTACTGATAACAAGTAGCAGCAAGATAACATATTTAGAAAACTAATTCCAAGGCAGCAGACGAGAATATGAACGAAGTACTGCTAGCAAACTACGGAATTACCAATGGCAAGTAACAACGAAACGAGACATGCGAATATAGAAAACTAAGGAAAAAAGGGTACCGAACTAGCGCTAATACTATCGAGCTAGAGAAGACAAAGGGAGATGCACGACTACCTACTAACCTTCTACCGTAATCTTCAACCTCCACACCCTTCTATCTAGAGTCATGTCCTCGGTTAGCTCAAGTAGCGCCATGTCCTGCCAGATCACCTCTCCCCAAGACTTCTTTGGCCTACCTCTACCCCTCCTCACACCTCCTAAGGCCAACCTCTCACATCTCCTGACAGGGGCATCTGCGCTTCTCCTCTTAACATGCCCGAACCACCTCAACCTTGCCTCACGCATCTTTGCCTCCACAGGGGCCACTCCCACCTTGTCTCGAATAACTTCATTCCTAATTCTATCCAACCTAGTATGCCTACACATCCATCTCAACATCCTCATTTCCGCTACCCTCATCTTTTGGACATGAGAGGTTTTGACTGGCTAACACTCTGCCCCATACAACATAGTCGGTCTAACAACTACCTTGTAGAACTTACCCTTAAGTCTCAGCGACACATTCTTATCATACAAGACACCGGAAGCGAGCCTCCACTTCATCCACCCTGCTCCGATACGGTGTGTGACATCCTCATCTATCTCCCCATCCTTCTGAATTATAGATCATAGATACTTGAAACTCTCTCTCCTGGAAATGACTTACGTATCGAGTTTCACATCCCCGTCCGCCTCCTGGGTAACATCGCTGAACTTGCACTCCAAGTATTCTGTCTTGGTCCTGCTCAACTTGAAAACCTTTGACTCCAGGGTATGTCTCCAAACCTCCAGTCTCTTGTTAACGCCACCTCGCGTCTCATCAATCAGGACTATGTCATTTACAAATAGCAAGTACCAAGGCACCTCCCCCTGAATGTGACGTCTCAAAGAATCCAACGCCAGGGAAAACAAAAACGGGCTAAGTGTTGACCCTGATGCAACCCCATCTCAACCGGAAAGTAATCCGAGTCTCCACCTACTGTCCTAACCCGTGTCTTAGCTCCATCATACATGTCCTGAATCACTCTAATATACGCTACAGGCACTCCTCTAGCCTCCAAACATCTCCATAGAACCTCTTTGGGCACTTTGTCATAGGCCTTCTCCAGGTCAATGAACACCATGTGCAAATCCTTCTTCACCTCCCTAAACTGCTCCACCAATCTCCTCACAATATGAATGGCCTCAGTGGTCGACCGTCCCGGCATGAAACCAAACTGGTTCTCGGTAATGGACACACACCTCCTCAACCTCCCTTCAATCACCCTCTCCCACACTTTCATCGTATGGCTTAACAACTTGATACCCCTATAGTTGTTGCAGTTTTGGCCATCCCCCTTATTCTTGTACAGCTGGATCATCGTACTCTGCCTCCATTCTTCGGGCATCTTCGTCGTCCTAAAAATAACGTTGAACAACCCAGCAAGCCATCCTTACCCACGCTCTTCCAGAATTCCACCGGGATCTCGTCTGGCCCCGTCACTCTACCCCTACTCATCCTGCACATAGCCCCTACAACCTCCCCCAATCGTATACGACTACATTACCCAAAATCTCGCTGCCGCTCCGAGTGCTCCAACTCCCCCAGCACAATGCCCCTATCTCCCTCTTCATTCAAGAGCCTATGAAAGTAAGACTGCCATCTCTGCCTAATCTGTGCCCCCTCCAATAAAACTCTTCCCTCCTCATCTTTTATACATCTCACTTGGTCCAGATCCCGGGCCTTCCGCTCCCTCACCTTCGCTAGTCTGTACAACTTTCTGTTCCCTCCTTTATCCCCAATTTCTTCGTATAGACGACTAAACGCGGCGGTCTTAGCCGCAGTAACCGCCAACTTCGCCTCCTTACTAGCCTTCTAATACCCCTCCCTGTTAGCACTCTTCTGCCCCTCGTCGATACTCTTTACTAGCTTCAAATATGTCGCTTTCTTCGCTTCCACTTTCCTCTGAACCTCTTCGTTCCACCACCATTCCCTTTTATGGCCAACAGAAAAACCCTTTGAGGCCCCTAACACCTCTCTCGCCGCCTCTCTAATGCAATTTGTTGTCATAGACCACATACAACTTGCATCCCCGCTACTCCTCCAGGCCCCCATAGTCAGCAACTTCTCCCCCAACTCCTGGGCCTTGTCCTTAGTCAATGCACCCCACCTGACCCTAGGTATACCAGACATAGCCCTCTTCTTCCTCGTCCACGTGATCTCTAAGTCCATAATCAAAAGCATATGATGGGTCGTAAGATTCTCACTCGGGATGACCTTGCAATCCGTGCATAAACCTCTATCACATTTTCGGAGAAGTAGATAATCAATCTGGGTCTTGGCCACCGCACTCCGAAAAGTTATCAGGTGCTCCGCCTTCTTCGGGTAATACGAGTTAGCGATCACCATCTCAAAAGCTTTGACGTACTCCAGTAGCGAAGTACCTCCACCATTTCTATCTCCAAAACCGAAGCCACCATGCACATCATCATATCCCCCAGGCGACCTCCCAATGTGACCGTTAAAATCACACCCTATAATAAGCTTCTCGGTGGACGGTATACCCCGCACCAACCCATCCAAATCATCCCATAAGCGTCTTTTAACCTCCTCGCCCAAACCCACCTGAGGCGCGTAAGCACTAACTACGTTCAAAATATACCCTCCCACGACTATCTTAGTGGCCATCAACCTGTCATTCACCCTCTTAAACTCAACCACTAGCTCCCTTAGATTAATGCCTACCTCGTTCTTCCCTCTCACCCTCCCTGAATACCACAACTTAAAACCATCCACCTCCTAAGCCATGTTCCCCACCCATTTAGTCTCCTGGACACAAGCTACGTTAATCTTCCTCTTATGGAGTATCCTTGCTAACTCTATAGACTTTCCCGTTAGAGTCCCTATGTTCCATGACCCCACTCTCAGCCTAGAAGGTTCCTTACCCCCCTTCCACCCTTACTCCCTACCCCCGCTCCGCTCGCTCTCCCCGAGGACATGCCCTCACTCTATCATAACTCACGCGGCCACTAGACCAGCACAAAGCTACAAAAGGATAGACTAGAAAGGAATAAACTCAACAGAAACCTACCGGTACACAAGGTGCTAATAAGGGATCCGACTAAGTAGGGACCAACTATGTATCGGCTATAACACTAAGGAGAAAGACAGAGACCGATATAAGTAGACAAGTCTAACTAAATAAATTAAACAAGATACTATGGATGTCAAGGATACCAGCAAGCAAAAATGGAAAAATAAAATAAAAAATAAACTACAAAATAAACTAAACAGAAACCTACATGTACACAAGGTACTAATAAGGGATCCAACTAAGCAGGGACCAACTATGTATCGGCTATAACACTAAGGGGAAAGACAGAGACCGAATAAGCAGAAAAGTCTAAATAAATATAATTTAAACAAGATACTATGGATGTCAAGGATACCGGCAAACAAAAATGGAAAAATAACAATGAAAAATAAAATAAAATACCAATATCACGAATACCAGCTATAGAACGAAAGAACCTGGAGCAAGTTTTCCTGAAGTTTACCGGAACTAGTAATTCTGCTGCGTCCCGCCGGAAAGATGAACGGGAGCCGCCAGAAGTAATGTAACTTGCCGGAAATCCTCGCCGGAAAAATATTGCACCTGTCCAAAAAATAGAACACACCCACACACTCACAAGGCGGGAGAGAGAAAGGAAAAAAGAGAGAGCGAGGAAGAAGAAGACGGAGCAGGGGTCGCTGGAAAATGCAGAACGGGAAGAGTCGCCGGGAAACAAGGGTCGCCGGAAGCTAGCAAAGCAAACCTTGAGGGACGATAAATCATACAACAAAAGAGAAATATACCAAAAGAGACACAAACATATAACGTGGTTCGGTCAACTGACCTACATCCACAACAAAGATGAGCAATCCACTATATAAAAGAGAGTACAAAATATCGAGAGAACAACCTCACGAAGAGGCAAACACAAGTGACATGCTAACACTTGTCCTGTAAAGTTCTCCCCTAAACACGACTCTCAAACCCCTTTATGGCTACATTGTGGATGCTACTGAATGAGAAGGAAGGATCCTCAATTTATAGAACTCTAAACATTTTCCTACAAGAAAAGGGACTAGCCAAATATGGGAGATTTGTAATTTCCTTCTACAAGAAGGAAAACCCAATTAAGGTAAACATGTTGTCCTTTCCTTCAACAAATAGAAAAATCAAATATGGTAAGAAAATTATGGCAAACACCTAACAATTCTCCCCATTGGCCTGAATTTTCTGACAAAATAAACTTGATCCACCTTCTTCACATAGCCTTCAACAGGTCGCATCTTCAAATCTCCACCACAAAGTTTGTCTCAATATACGTAGCACACCGGTCAAATTTCTCAGACAAAAATCACGATTATCGTCAAATATGTTGCGGCTAGAACTAAACCCGCCAAGATAAACTTGTCTTGAACCTCACTCTGACACCACTTGCTATGACCGAAAAAAGTCAGGTGTCATGCGAAAGCTAGCAAAGCAAACCTTGAGCGACGATAAATCATACAACAAAAGAGAAATATACCAAAAGAGACGCAAACATATAACGTGGTTCGGTCAACTGACCTATATCCACGACGGAGATGAGAAATCCACTATATAAAAGAGATTACAAAATATCGAGAGAACAACCTCACGAAGAGGCAAACACAAGTGACACACTAACATTTGTTCCGTAAAGTTCTCCCCTAAACAAGAGACACACTAACATTGTTCTCGTTATTTTCAGCTTTCTTTCCTTCTCTAGTGTCTTGATTCAACTTGCGGCAAAACCTTTTGATGTGTCCCTTCTTGCCACAGTGGTTGCATGCAATGTTATGGTATTTGGACCTTGACTTACTTCTACTTTTACCTCTATTCCACGAGCCTCTTGTTTTATCTCTCCCCCGGTCTTCTGTAACCAAGATATGTCTTTGCAAGGACGAACCTTCAGATTTTCTTCTTACTTCCTCGTTCAACACACCACTCTTGGCATATTCCATGATCACCTTACCTCTAGGAGCTGAATTTGTCAAAGAAACACGAAGAGTTTCCCAAGAATCTAGCAAAGTATTAAGAAGCGTATCTCATCATCAAAATTAACTCCCATTCCAGACAGCTGATCAAGGGCGCCCTGAAAATCATTTATGTGATCAAGGATAGAGTTGCCTTCCTTGTATTTAAAGGTGATCAATTGCTTTAGCAGGAACAACTTGTTGTTCCCAGTTTTTGAGGCATAAAGAGTCTCTAGATTTTCCCACAATGATCCCGCATGTGTCTCGTTCACAATATGGTTGCGAATATTATCTTCAACCCATTGTCATATATATCCACATACATGTTGGTGCTCGAAATCCCAATCTTCATCAGATATACTCTCGGGGTTATGTGCTGCAAAAATGTGTAGATGCATCTTCTTCACGAGCAACAAGTCTTTCATCTTGCTTCTCCAAATATTATAATTTCTCCCACTAAAACATACCATATTGCTCATATTCGCCTCCATTCCATAATAACCCGGATAAATAACCAAGGCTCTGTTCTTAATGACTCAATAAATCTGGTGGAAAGTGATACTTTATTAGAATTGTGGCATAGAAGATTGAGTCATATGAGCGAGAGGGAATTACGTGTTTGGCTAAGAAAAGTTTTCTTTCTGGAGTGAAACAAGCAAAGCTGAAAATGTGTATCCATTGTTTAGCTGGCAAACAGAAAAGGGTTTCCTTTAACAGCCATCCTCCCTCAAGAAAGCCCTATTTATTATAGATAGTACACTCTGATTTGTGTGGTCCTTTTAAAGTAAAGTCAAAAGGTGGTACACTTTACTTTGTGAACTTCATTGATGATCATTCTCGTAAGCTTTGGGTGTATCCTTTGAAATCTAAAGATCAAGCACTTGGCGTGTTTAAGGAATTTCAGGCCTTAGCTGAGAGACAGACGGGGAAGAAATTAAAATGTATTCGCACAGACAATGGTGGTGAATATTGTGGTCCCTTTGATAACTATTGCAAGGAACAAGGAATTCGTCATCATAAAACTCCGCCCAAGACGCCTCAATTGAATGGTTTGGCAGAGAGGATGAATAGAACTCTAGTTGAGAGAGTTAGATGCTTGCTTTCAGAAGCTAAACTTCCAAATACATTTTGGGCGGAAGCACTTAACACTGTTGCCTATGTTATCAATTTGTCTCCTGCTATTGCTTTGGATGGTGATGTCCCAGACAGAGTTTAGTTTGCCAAAGATGTTTCTTATGATCACCTGAGAGTTTTTGGGTGTAAAGCTTGTGTGCATATTTCTAAAGATGAGAGATCAAAACTGGATGTCAAAACTAAGCAGTGCATCTTTATCGGTTATGGTCAAGATGAATTCGGGTATCGTTTTTATGATCCAGTTGACAATAAACTTATTAGAAGTTGTGATGCAATATTCTTTGAAGACCAAACTATTGAAGATATTGACAAAGCTGAGAAGATAGATTCTCAAATTAATGAGAGCTTAGTTGATAGTGATCCAGTTTCTATTGCTAAGGCACCTATTGCACATGAAGGAACCCAAGACAATGATGGAGATAGTGATCAAGATCAAAATGATCATCATGGTGTAGATGTTATGGATGCTTCAGTTGATGAAGTTGTGGTTGATCAGCAACCAATTCCTGCTCAAGTAACTAGTTCGAATGCTCCTGAAACCTCTCTTAGAATATCTACAAGGGAGAAGCAAAAGTTCATGCGCTATCCGCCTGATGAGTAAGTACTTTTGACTAACATAGGAGAACCTGGGAATTATGATGAAGCCATGCAAGATACTCACAAAGATCACTGGATCGAAGCCATGGAAGATGAGATAAAGTCACTCCATGAGAATGGCACAAATGAGTTAGTGAAATTGCCGAAAGGTAAGAGAGCTTTATCTAACAAATGGATATTAAGAATAAATCAAGATAATTATACCTCTGCGCCTAGATACAAGGCGAGGTTAGTTGTTAAAGGTTTTGGCCAGAAGAAGGGAGTTGACTTTGATGAAATTTTCTCCCCTGTTCTGAAGATGTCTTATATTCGTGTGGTTCTAGGCTTAGCTGCAAGTCTAGATTTAGAGATTGAGCAGATGGATGTCAAGACTGCTTTTTTTCATGGTGATTTAAATGAGGAGATTTATATGGAGCAGTCTGAGGATTTCGTCATTATGCTTGTAGATAAGCATGCGTTTTGTAGAAAATTGGCAGGCATGAAGCCTACCAATAGTTCCTCTACTTGAAGACATATTTGGCCCCTTGCTGGAGGGGGAGTTGTTGGGCACATGCCCATGTTGTCCAGCCAAAGTCCCAATGCCTTAATCCTATTCTCTTTTGATTTTCATTCCTATTCGGAATTGGATTCGGTGTTTATTCCTATTTTGAGTGGGTTTTGGCTTTAAGAGAAAGCACCACTCATGATCTATAAATAGGACAACCTTGAAGAATTATTCTATGCTTATTGATACAAGTCTTTGAAAGACTTTAGCACATAAGAGTGGTTTTTGAGAGAGCTTTCATCAAGAGAGAAGAGAGAAGAAAAGTATTTGTTTTGCTGCAGATTTTTATTCCGACCAGCCAACTTCAAATTGCATTTTCCGATTCGTTAATCGTTGGAACGGGCTAATATTTTGGCTGAGTGTTCGTAACATTTTGATCTTTGATTTGAACAGTGAAGATCGGATTTGGAGGCCTGTAGCATCTGATTTCGAGTCTCGGACAGTAGCTTCATTTTTGTGGATTCTCCTCTTTCTTCAATTGATTAGTTGTTGCTCTTGTTGCTATTGTTGCTCTGTGTCTGGCACTTGTTGTGTAGCCAATTTGGAAGAATTATATTTTTCTTCTAGGAAAAGAAAAACCGAATTATGGTTAATATGTCCTTTCCTTCAACAAATAGGAAAATTAAATATGATAAGAAAATTATTGCAAACACCTAACAGTATTTTGTACACTTAAGTTTGAAGCGTGGTGAGTCTAATGGTAAGAACCTAGATGTTAAATTCCTTAAATTTAAATTTCCTGTTTATTGTTCCAAAATGCGTGACACTTTCTATTGGTTTTCAAAAGTCAAATTCAACTCTTTGCAAGTCATAAAATTAAATAAATAGGAAAAAGGGAATTTCAGTCCGCATCTAAATCCTAAAATTGAGTTAAGATTGCTGGGTGATTCAAAAATATATAATGTCTCTGATATAAAATACACGAAAGAGGTTTAGTAAAATATACAATTCTTAGTGTTAGAAAACGAACTCAGTTTTATTCCCAGGCAGTTGTTGCTTAGCTTTATCTTAGCTCACAAGTCACAATATAAGGCCTGTATTGATTTTTTAGTGGACCCGGCTTTTGACTATCATGCTGGACCAGACTTGGTGGCCCAGTTATCCACAATTTCTCTGGGCCGATGTCTACTGCATGAAAAAATCCAAAATTTCACGGTATAGCCAGTTTTCGGACTGGTCAATCAAAAATAGCCAGCGTTTATCAAGTCAATGAAAAATAGCCATCGTTTTGCTGCAATAGAGACCGGTCCATCATAATATACTGGAGTTCGGTGCACTTGTGTATGAACTCCAGCATATTATGCTGGACCGGTATACTTTGCTGGCTCCAGTATAATATACTGGAAACTGGAGCACTGGTGCTCCAAACTCCAGTATATTATACTGGACCATTATACTTGCTGGAACTTCAGTATATTATGTTGGAGTTCTAGTGTATTTATGCTGGAGTTCCAGCATACTATCCTGGAACTCCAGTATAATATGTTGGAGTTCAAGTATACTTATGCTGGAACTCCGGCATAATATACTGGAGTATTTTTCGGGTTTTGAACAGTGTTTTCGCTCAGATTTATCTTTACATAAAAAGTGGCTAAATTTTGATTACTTTTGAAATTGGGCTATTTTTGAACGACCAGTTGTAAATCTGGCTATTTTTAAAAATCACCCTGAAAGAATAGCACGGGCTAGCCAATTTTTGGACTGGGAATTGAAAAATAACCAGCGTTTATAAAGTCATTAAAAAGTAGCCACTATTTTGCTGCAACGCGGAATGTTCCAGCATAATATACTGGAGATCGGTGCACCTGTGTATGAACTTCCAACATATTATGCTTGAACTCCAACACGCGAAAAGTTCCAGCATAATATACTGGAGATTGGAGCACATGTGTATCAACTTCCAGCATATTATGCTGGACCGGTATATTATATACTGGAACTCCAGTATATTATGCTGGAGTATTTTTCGGATTTTGAACAGTGTTTTCGTTCAGATTTATCTTTACACTAAAAGTGCCTAAATTTTAATTACTTTTGAAATTGTGACTATTTTTCAATGCTATTTTTGAATTTCTCCCTACTGCACTCCTACAAACATAAATAGGCAAATACAAGATTGGTTTGTCAGTCAAATAATCGCATTCGCCAGACAAAAAGTATATAAAATATAAATAGTATACATAGTTCGTACATATTAAACACAAAAATATATTTTATCGGTTATTATTCATGGGAGCAACCAAAATTATACATTTCTCAACAGAAATTGGGACTAAAAAGTGCCCATCTCTATGAGACTATGGCTATCGCTAGAGAGTAAACAGATAATTATTAATAGGGGACTTCAATATAAATGGTACTAGAGATGTACAAAAGAAACCGACAAACTACACCAAATCGATAATTCGAGTCAAATTGAGAAAAAAGATGGACTATGGTTTGATTTAAATTGATTTGGTATTGGGGAAAAAATCCGACCATAATTGGTTTGGTTTGGTTTTAACTACAAAAAGTCAAACCGAAACAAACCAACCCGACATTACATGTATAGAAGTTTTAAATATATTTTAATACATAAAAATATTTATTGTAGTGTAGTTTATAAATATTTCTTAATCTTTTTCATAATTTTATCTTTTAACGTATTATTTCAAGTTTGGACTTATAATTTTTAAATGCTCCACTAAGTTTTATAGTCCATAAATGTTAGTAA